GATGTGCATACCTTTACAAGAAAAGGCTGGTAACATCCAGTTCTTTCTCATATTGTATCTGGATTCATGTATGTGTACCGACAACAGGTTTACCAGTTCTCATTTTCATATCAAGATATTTAAGTGTTTTTATAAGAGCAACTCTATAATGGTATATGTTTATCTATAAGGGGGGCGGCACGGTGGTGTGGTGGTTAGCACCGTCGAAGGTAGTGGGTTCGAATCCTGGGGGAACCAGGACCTTTCTGTGTGGAGTTTGCATGTTCCCCCTGTGTCTGCGTGGGTTCTCCGGCTACCTCCTACAATCCAAAAACCTGCATGTTAGGTTGATTGGACATTTCAAATTGTCATTAGGAGGAAGTGTGAGTGTGCGTGGTTGTTTGTCCTTGTATGTGTTGTGTTGCCGTGCGATGGACTGACAGACTGTCTAGGGTGTACCCTGCCTCTCGCCCATTGACCACTGGGAAAGGCTCCAGTTCTCCCCGCGACCCCCATTAGGGGATAAGTGGTAACGATAATGGATAGATCATTTATAAGCAAACGAAATGTGCAAAAGCACACTTTCAGTTTGGTCTTGAAATTTGTATCAAATCGTCCTAGTTCTTTTCATTGGAATTTAATTGGACACTAAAGAGTTACACATAAATCTACAAAAAATAAATTTGCACTTTAAACCTAAATAAATACAGGAAATAAGTTATTTATATTAACTCATAGCTGTGAAACTTTTTATTGAAAGGTTGAAACATGGGGGATGCTGTGATGGCAGAGTTTGGACCTGCAGCTTCTTATCTGCGAAAATCAGATAAGGAACGTCTGGAGGCCCAGACACGAATATTTGACATGAAGAGGGAATGTTTTGTTCCTGACCCAGAAGTTGAGTATGTCAAAGCTACAGTTTCAAGTCGTGATGGAGACCAAGTCACCGTCAATACTGAATTTGGAAAGGTATTGTCATTCTATTTGCTCAATGTGCTAATCATATTCCATCTTTTGGCGTGTTTATAAGATGTGTTCCTTCTTTCTGCAGACTGTCACTGTGAAGGAGATTGATGTCCA